AGATAATTAGGGAAATAGATTAGGTAACAAGCAGAGGGAAATAATATTGCACCTTAAGAATTTAGGATGTCCCATACTGACAGCCTGAAAGAAGGAAATGGAGGTCTCATGGAACTGAATTCTGCCAACCACCTGAATGAACTTGTAAATGGATTCATCCCCAGAAACTCTAGAAAGGATGGAAGGCCTTTGCTTTTGCCTGTGAAATTCTAAGCGGAGAATTAGTTAAGCCATAATGTACCTTGACTTCTAACCCACAGAAGCTCTGAGATATTATGTGGGTGTTGTTTTAAAATGTTAGGTTTGTGGTAATTCATTTTGATGGCAATAGAAAACTAATACAGAAGAGATCATAGTTATTCCATAAAAAACATGTGGATAGAACACTCTCACAAAGTATGTGGTTGTTCTACACACATAAGTTGGCTCACGTTTTACCAAGTCTTAAAAGGCAAAATAAAGGCCTAGTAAACTGTTTTCCAGATTGTGATCCATGGAGAAAAGATGCATAGTTTATCTCTCTTTTGAGGAGTCACAATGCTCATCTTCATAAAAAGGCTCTGCTTAGTCCTGCAGGGGAAAAAAAATCCATTCATTCATCTAATTTAATAGGTTTTTTTCCCCCAAATTTATTTGACCACTGAATCCTTTAAAAATAAAATGTTCATGAGCCTACCACCAAAAACTGGTTAAAAGCGTGTAGATTTAGTAGTCCAGGGATTATTGATTTTGGGGCTCTTTCATATTAAACCTGTAGGAAGTAATCCCAAATCTCATTTCCTTGGGCTTAAGTCTTGGAATGTCTATTTTAACAAATAACATTTTTTTTCTGTTGAATTTAATAAAATGTAAATTCCTCCCCACCCCCAGCCCCATCATCTAAACTTAGATGTTGCAAATACCTACAGGCCAGGCGGATAGTATAAATGAGTGAAGTGGGCTGACTGTGAGTGAATAGAGAGTCATGCATCTCATGCATACTATGAGAGGTTTTCCAGAGTAGATATCTCTACCTATGGCTGTGTTGGAAGATCTTGATCTTTATTAGGTATGGTCAAATTGCTCTCCAAAGTACTTGTAGCAGTTTTCACTCCCACCAGAAATATTTAAAAATTCCATACATTTTATTTCTTTAAATAAAAAAAATGATATTAAGCAAGGATGAAAAAGTGTCTTACATTGAGTGGTATATCGGGTAGATGTGTGTCTATTTTCTTATTTTATGTGATTTCTTTTTGTATGTTCAAAACATTTTGTAATCATAAAAAGCTAAAAAAAGATCAAAGAAGGGAGGATAAATATGAACAGAGAGAGTTTTAGGGATGGTGGTAAGCTGGAGAGCATGACCTGTATAAAGCAGGCAGGTTCTGCTTGGCCCTGGCTAAATGCTGCCATGTAATATGGCATTGTGAGATTTTTTTTTTTTTTAACATCAGACAGATAATGTGCTGAAGTTATAACAAGGCTTGAGGGAGGCACATGTCACACAAGCCCATGACACCCAATCATCACGCTCATGAACTAAGTACAAAAGGTTCTGATTTGCTGAATTTTTAATAAAAGACTAAAATTCAAAAATTTAAGTGAAAATCTCCAATGTTTAAAACAAGGTATGGGCCACATGGAACAATTTTGTGTCCAGGATTTGGCTGGTGGGCACTGGTTTTGATCTTTGAAGGAGGAGCTCACAGGCCACACTCCCCTCCCTGACCAATATGTGGAGTTTGGGGGAGGTTATTTGTGGCAGAGTCTGTTTTCCCACATGTGGCAAAAGTATGTATGAAGAAGCACGGTTCTGAGCTCTTTACCACCTAGAATAAAAAGCAATATGCAATCTTGTTGTAAATGGTTTTTGAAGCCCAGAACCTACAACTAGGCTTCAGTAACTTCCTATTGTCCATAGAATAAAACTCAAACATAGCCAAACATTTAAGCCCTGTTTTACTTTTAATACTTTATTTTCTGCTATTCCTTTTCTCATACCCTTTGTTCAGACCAAACTGAACTTGTTATTTTCTAGAGAAGGAGCCTAACAGAAATTCAGAGCAAAGGCACTGGAATTGAACTGACCTGGAGTTGAAAGCAGGCTTCATCATTACTTGCTGCATGACCTTAGGCAAGATACTTCATCTCTCTGATCCTTACTGTCTTTCCTGGAAAGTGGAATCATCGTAGTGTTCATATCATAGGTTTGTTAAGAAGATGAAATGGAACTATACATACATAAAAGGCCCAAGAACATACCTGACACACAAAAAGCATTTGATAAATGTTAGCTCTCATTATCATCTGTGGAATTAGGATAATACCATCATCACTGTGAGAGTGGAATTAGATAATATTTGTAAGGTGGTAAATGAAATGCCAGGCATAAATTGTAGCCACAGTTCCTGTTCTCTGTGCCTTCCCACCTACCTGTACTTATGCTAGTCCGTCTGATTTAAGGTCCTTTCTCAGTCTCTGCGTGTTCACATTCTTCCCATTTTCAAATGTCATTTCAAATGCCACCTCCTCCAGAGAGTGGTCATTCACTCATTCAAAAAAATGTTTACCGAGAACTCTCTTCTGAACCCGTATCATTTTATCCTGGCACTTTCACTTTTATACTTGTAATATATATTGATTTTTTTAAAAATAAAAATGTCAGTTTTTGGAAGGCAGGGTATATTTTTATTCATCTTTATATCTCTCACCCTGTGTACCACAAGGCTAGACACATAGTAGGCAGTAATTTTCTTTCCAAAAAGGGAATAAGCCTGTACGGAAATTCTCCTTTTCTGACTGGGGGATCTAATTACAGTGGAAGATGTGCTTCCAGTGAAAGACAGGAATTCAAAGTCCTAAGAGGTATTATGCTCATTAGTGCCTCTAACTTTTTAAATTTTTTTGCTGCCTATCTACAAAGATTGACATGTCCACGCAACCTGTATGATTAGGAGGCCAGGAATTTGTCTCATTAGAAGTGATAGGATAGTTCACTGTAAACATCTTACTCATTCAAGAAACCACAGAGCTGTCATTTAAAAACATGGCTCCCAAACCAGCAATAGATTGATGTGCTTAAAACCTCCTAAATTATTTAAATTGTTTGCTAAATCCTTGATAAGATGTGACATAATTTATTTTACTGACTAGAAAATTTCTTAGTCCTGAGAAGGTTGCATTGACATCTCTGCCCCTAATTAGTTATGTGAAGTTGAACAAGTTATTTTACCTCCGTAGATCTGATTACTCGTAAGTGTAAGGGACAAACCATTAACCTGACACTGTTGAATCAACTTCCTTGTGCCATCCTAGCTGATGAGGACTGAATCCTGTAATTGGCAGGTCCTTTTATTTCTTCTTCACCTTCCAAAAGATATTTTTTTTTAGCTATGTGGAAAAAGGCTAAGGGAAAGGTAAAGGAAGAAAAAGAAATTCAGATCTGCATCTGATGGATAAAGAATTCTTTTGGGGGCTATTTTGAAGGTGATATGGTATTGGAACAGCTGTGGAGTATCAGGAAGAGGGTAAGAGAACAAGAATTTGAATAAACAAAGCTGTGGATTGTGAGTTCGTGGTGAGACAAGTTGTCAACACCATGTCTTCCTCTTGTTTCAGGCCAAAAGGCTGAGAACATGGCTGGGGACTCACATTCTAAAGTGAGGTGCTCGCAACCTATGTGCTACTTGCAGAGGGAGTAGTCCATGCTGAATTTTCTTATTCATCACCTATGTTGCATCCATGTAAGAGGGCGAGGCTGAAGAGGCTGAGAGAGAGGATTTACTGGAGAAAGTTGTCAGTGTGTTGAATTGTTCTCCTTGACCAACCACACCCCCAGCGAAGGTAATGGGGTGTGAGATACTTCCTTTTTACTTTAAACCCAGTAGAAGGTTTGTCTCTGTCCTTTAGGATGTGAAGGACTCCAAAGTTGATATTTGACTCGTGCCTGAAAGGTCAAGAGGTGAGAAGCTGGAGCTGGTCTTTTCTGACCTTAGAGGACTGAAGGCTGTGCTTCCACCAGTGGTGGGGCAAAGGCAAGGTTTCTTGGGGACAGATGTGGAGCCCATGGATATTAATACAGACTTCTTAAAAACTATCCTGCCCAAGAAGATCATTGGACAGTGTGACCCAAAGAAGAGAAGGTGAACACTGGGAATGGAATGGATGGCTGCAGACTATAGCTGGAGGAGAGGCACTGCTGTGCCCATGGGAGTGTAGACTTGTTTCCTGAGGTCCCTAGTGAAGAGGGTCTGTGAGGTGCCTGCACAAGTCTCCTCGTTTCCCTCCACGAGAAAAACGATTAGCACTGGATATAAGGCGCCAATCCCAGATCCCGACTGGAGCAGTCCTGTGAATCTTCTGCCGTCTTATCTCTTCTTTGGCTTTATGCTCTGACCCTGGAGGGAGCAACATATGGGAGAGGAAGCAGGGAAGGCTTACTACATTGCTTCCTTCATCCTTTGGGCTTCCAAATCAGGCTGAGATGTGATCTGGGGGAGGGGAGAAGTTCTAAATGGAGTTTTAATTTTTACACTGGCCTGGACAGACTTACTTGATTTTTATGTTGGGCCATATTTTTTAAAATGCCAAAAACTAAGCTTCCACTTATTTAATATGTAATAGTGACTGGAAAAGCTGTGGGACCTGTCTGGGATTCCATCCAGAAGGGGGAAAAATGAGTCCATGAAGCTGGACTAATGGGGAGCGGTAAGAAAAATACGGTTCCTTTCATCTTTGAATGAGTCCAGGTCACTCAGTGAATCAGTTACAATGGCTTATGAGATAAGTAAGTAAAAATGGGATTTAAAAAGTTTACTTTTGATTGTTAACTGAGCTTTTAAAATATGCCTCTATTTTGAGACTGATTCACGTGGGATTCCAGATTTATTAGAATTAGAATATATTAAGATAAAGGAAATGGATTAGATGATCTTTCATGTCTCTTCCAAGAGTGTATTTCCATGACTTTAAAAACTAATATGGCGGTTGAAAGTGAATTTAGAGAAGAACTGCTAAGAGCTAAATACCTAGCTTGGAATTCAAGAGCAGTGTTTTAGTTTACATTAGAATTGAATTTAATGAGGGAATTAGGTTCCAAAGTTACCACACAAGGCAAAAATCTGGAATACCAGAAATTACTTCTGAAAATCTCTTACGCTGTGAAAAAAGTATACCTGGTAGTTTTTTTAGGAATGAATGACTTCATTTTCCTGAATAGTTCATCACTCTTTTATTCATTTGACGACTCTTATATGTCCTTCGAACTCCAAGTCAGATGCCGTCTTCTCTGGGAAGCCTTGGGCGGCTTCCCTCTGTGTCGTGTTGTTGCTGTATGCTCCCAGCACGTTGTCAGCTTCCCTATCGTAGCAGTTACCACACTCTCTTGTAACCATCTGTTTATTGTTGTAGAACATGTAAGAACAGAAGAAGAATACTATCTTAGGGCGCTGCAAAGAGCCATGTAAATATTTTCAGTGGCTCAAGGGATGACTTACTTTAAAGAATGATACCCAGCACTCCCGGAAACAGAATACAGCTTGGTTTTGATTGTCCCATGGTCTGGTTTTAGATTATAACTACTTAAGAAAATTAGATTTAGATGGTGAAAAAGAGACTGATATACTTAAAAAAAGTTGAATGTTGTCAGGTCTACACAGTTAAATGATTGCTTATGATCTGATTTCTTTCTTTTCTTTCTTTCTTTCTTTCTTTTTTTTTCTGCCAGCTTTCCTTTGCTTTGATGACTTTCTCTTGGCTTGAGATTTGCCATGAGAGATCAGCTAACTACAGTCAATCCAGCTAAAATCTAATGCTCTAATTCTCTAGTAATCATTTGTATGTAATTATTTGACTCACACAAAAAGAATTTATAACTTAAATTTATTAAAATAATAATGCAAGAAATCCTCAGAAGCCCACCTCCCCACTAATAACCAGCAAATTACCCATAGCATTGAAGCTACCTGTTCTCCTCACTCTCCTAGTTCTCTTTGACAGCAATAATATTCAGCATTACATTGCTTTTAAAAAAAGAATTACTATATATGAATGTAAATAATGTTCTTAACTTTGCTTATTTTTAGCTGTATTCAATGATATCATACTATACTTAGCATTTTGTGACTTGCTTTTTAAAAAAAAAACTAATATTATACACATGAAAATCATCCAGTATTGTGTATAGTGTATATTGGTATAGAGTTGAGTGTTTTGTGTATAGTGATTCATTTATTTTCACTGCTAAATAATATTCCACTGTGTGAATATTCTCCAATTTAATCTTCTTTTGATGGACACACTTAAGTTGTTATCAATTTCTTTGCTATGTAAACATTGCTGTTACTGACTGACATTTCTGAACATGTCTCCTGCTGTACATGTGCACAAGTGTCTACAGGGTATGTGTGTATGTTGATGATGTTCAGAACAGGCTACCGCAAATATGGCATGTTGGCATGTTAGATATCTTAAGCCAAAGGAATCTGAGAAATGGTGTGTGCAGAAAGGAACTTACTCTGAAGCATGTGAGAGGTGCCCTCCCTATGCCCAGAACAA